AAAAGCTGAACAAAATACACGCCCACTCTCTCTTTTTACGCGATCTCCACTCTTTAAAAACTGTCCGCATTTGACAGGACGATCTCCCATCACCACAGGTGAGTTACGTGTTCGTGGATATCTGGACAATACCTGGAGTGGAATCTAGGAAGAAATGTATGATATTCGATCAGTGAATGCACCTTGTAGGTATTACACCAAGCTAACTGATAACACCGATGTCTATGTGGACAGCAAGGCACAATAACATGGCTGAGGATCGGACAGACACCAAATCCACTATTCATCTTTTTTCATATTTGTGGATTGGGTATCCAATGCCTCTCCTTGGTAAACAGAAGGCCCCCTTTAGAATTTCCAGGGCCACGGGGAAATCTTTTATGGTGTGAGCCACAGTCATTTAACATCAAGCGGAAGCATTTCATTTAAATGTCGCTGCATTTTTTTTATTAATATATTAGGTACATCTGCATTTGTGCAGCTACCCTAGACTATATGAAGAGGAGTACAGTGTGTCAAAAAGCTAGCTACGTGATGCTAAAAAATCCCCATCACACAGGATGGGGATTTCAGAGGCACGTGAAATCCCCCATCACGTGCCTCTGTATCACATACAGAGGCACGTGATAACCAGTCTGCACTGGTAGACTCCGGGTGCATTATGAGGATATCATCAACTCAAGAGTGAATAAGGCAGCAGTGGTAATACAAGTCCCCATCTCGCAGGATGGTTAGTCAAACAGGGCCATATGTTTAGTAGCCAGCACTGACAAATTTTGGGTGCACTGTGAGGATATCTTCAAGAACACGAGAGTGAATAAAGTAATTGCAAAGCTCTAGATACCTCATGTCAACTGGTCTGACAGGTCTAATAACTGGGCATTCAATGATGCAGTGTGGGAAATCATGTCACAGTTCCTGCTCACAGAGTTTGCACCTGGAGTGCTCAGGATTGGGAGATCCGTCACCTGCAGCCACCTGCCACAGGTAACGGTAACCCAACCTGATCCTGGCAATCCACTGTGTCGCACAGTCTGGTAGACGTTTTGTGCTGCCCATAAATATAGGTTTCAGATCTGAACAAATCACAGCTTTTTATACTAGTAATTTCAGGGCGTTGGGAATCAATAATTTCTTTCCTATCAGACATTATCTGCGTACAACTCTAAGATGAAACAACCCAAGTTTTAATTACTATCTTAAATCATACCTAACTACTAATCACTTTACTATTACTAGTGTAGATAAGTGGTACAAACATCTGACATCATGGTGATGGTGAGGCGACCCAGTGCCAAACTGACACTGGGGTCTTTCGCACATACATAAGAAAAGGTACATATAAGATACACACATGTATATTCATGGGAAACCGGGACACAGAGTTGGTGCTCTTTTCTGTGAAACATAAAAAGACACTCACACATACACATACATATATAATACGTAGCATAATAGGCTTCGTTCTCGACTCACAATAGGGGATCTATCATCTATCTATGCCGTTCATCTATCTATGCCGCTGTTCACCTATCAGTAAATATATACCCAGGATGCAACAACAACCACGAAACACTTTCTCTGGCCTCTGGCTGGCACATACTGATATACCTCGTTGCTAGTCAGCAGTGATCTGACCCCTAGCATCAGCCCATTCTGATTGTCCTTTCCCTAGTTAGTTTATCTTTCGGTCAAATGATGCCTGGTTGATACCTGGTTGATGGGGTTCTGGGAGTTCTTCTGCTCCCCAAGCCCGGCCCGCAGGCTAGACTTGACTTGCGAGAGTTTGGTCCACCAGGCTGCTGCTTGGAGCGGCTCGCAGGCCAGGCTTGACTTGTGAGAGTTTGGTCCACCAGGCTGTTGCTTGGAGCGGCCCCGCAGGCCCGCATACCCACCACAGCCCGGTTGGTCCGGCACTCCTTGGAGGAAACAATCTAGTTTCCTTTTGAAGATGTCCACGGTTGTTCCGATTAGTTAATGATTGGCCAGTTCTAATTATGATTAGAATTGGTTAATATTTAATGACAGTTGTTAATGATTAGCCAGTTCTGACTGCCACGCTCCTAATAAATCCTCAACCTGTTTACTAATCAGCCAAATTTTTAATTTAACCAAACAGCCCTCAACAAAAATTTCACCACGATCATTGGTCAGCTGTTGTTGCTATTATAGTGAGAGAAAGACGAGGGGGAGGGGGGGAGGGCTCTGTCTTCAATAGTGACGAAGGTGAGAATCTCACTATCTTCCCCGCCTCACCACGACCGTTCCTGTCCCCGAGAATGGCCAATGATATCGCTCGTAACGTAACGAGATGGTGCTGAAGAGATGGGGCAGGGGGGGAGGGGGGACCTTCCGGGCCACAAACGGGTTGCTAACAATACCCGCAAAACGTTCCCTGGAGTGAACACAATTTGCATCAACTTAGGATCCCGCCAAACACACACACCGAAACTACGACGTTGGTACAACGTTCGAACAAGTTTTAACACCTCCTAACCAGTTATAACAACCAATATAGCAAGTTGGAACAACGTTCTAATACGTCAAAAACACGTTAAACCAAGATGTAACAACTTTATTACAAGTTGTAACAAGCGGAAAATAGAGACAGTTTCGGTTTGTGTTTCCAGGGATATGTATTTACCTTGCAAAAAGATCTTCACGTGAAAACAACAATGTGATTGTGTGCTTCCGTTGTTGCTGGATATTTGTTGTTGTAGTTGTTGATCAATGAGGTTGTTGGGCGTGCTGCAACGCATGCAATGCGGATGTCAGTCCTTTGTAGCGGAAACGGTGAAAGACATGTTTAGCACAGGTCCATCAGGCAGACATTCTACTGTCTGTTCTCTGACAATGAGGCTCGTGTCATCTAATCCAATAATCTTTTATGGAGGTATGACATCAACAACATCCCCCCCCCACACACACACACAGGAGGCCGAGCGGACAGCGCTCGGGGGTCGTAGTCCTAGGAGCCAGGGTTCGATTTCAGGCCGACGCAAAAACAAATGGGCAGAATTTCTTTAACCTGATGCTCTATTCACCTAGCAGAGGTACCTGGGTGTTAGACAGATGCTATGGGCTGCATCCTGGTGTGTGTGTGTGTGTGTGTGTGTGTGTGTGTGTGTGTGTGTGTGTGTGTGTGTGTGTGTGTGTGTGTGTGTGTGTGTGTGTGTACTCACCTATTTGTGCTTGCGGGGGTTGAGCTGTGGCTCTTTGGTCCCGCCTCTCAACTGTCAATCAACTGGTGTACAGATTCCTGAGCCTACTGGGCTCTATCATATCTACATTTAAAACTGTGTATGGAGTCAGCCTCCACCACATCACTGCCTAATGCATTCCATCCGTTAACTACTCTGACACTGAAAAAGTTCCTTCTAACGTCTCTGTGGCTCATGTGAGTACTCAGTTTCCACCTGTGTCCCCTTGTTCGCGTCCCACCAGTGTTGAATAGTTTATCTTTGTTTACCCGGTCGATTCCTCTGAGGATTTTGTAGGTTGTGATCATGTCTCCCCTTACTCTTCTGTCTTCCAGTGTCGTAAGGTGCATTTCCCGCAGCCTTTCCTCGTAACTCATGCCTCTTAGTTCTGGGACTAGTCTAGTGGCATACCTTTGGACTTTTTCCAGCTTCGTCTTGTGCTTGACAAGGTACGGGCTCCATGCTGGGGCCGCATACTCCAGGATTGGTCTTACATATGTGGTGTACAAGATTCTGAATGATTCCTTACACAGGTTCCTGAACGCTGTTCTGATGTTAGCCAGCCTCGCATATGCCGCAGACGTTATTCTTTTTATGTGGGCTTTATGTGGGCTGTGTGTGTGTGTGTGTGTGTGTGTGTGTGTGTGTGTGTGTGTGTGTGTGTGTGTGTGTGTGTGTGTAAATCACGAAAATTAACACGTGATGAAAAATGTGACAGTGACAGACCAAGAAAGAAGAGTTGAAACAGGAACTTCATTAAGTACTTTCGTATTTAATAATACATGTACAGAAGAATCCGATCCTTCTGAAGATGTATAATTAAATACGAAAGTACTTAAGGAAATTATTGTTTCAATTGTTCCTTCGTGGTCCGACACTGTGATATATATATATATATATATATATATATATATATATATATATATATATATATATATATATATATATATATATATATATATATATATGACAATGTCAGACCACGGAGGAAAAATGAAACAGGAATTTCCTTAAGTACTTTCGTATATTAAATACATCTTCAGAAGGTCCAAATATAATATACGAAAGTACTTAAGGAAATTCCTGTTTCATTTTTCCTCCGTGGTCTGACATTGTCACATTCTTAATCACGTGTTTATTTTCGTGATATACACACACATATATATATATATATATATATATATATATATATATATATATATATATATATATATATATATATATATATATATATATATATATATATATATCCAGACAAAGCCGAGCATCTGGAGCTCCAGGGTGGAATTCTTATTTAGCCAAAGACAACACAAAGTTCGAGAAAGTCAGGAGGAATGTCACCAGACTGGTCCTAGAACAGAAGGGTATGGATTACAGGGAAGGACTAAAGGAATTTAAACCCCACTGTGGTGTAATAGAGATATTTGAAATAAAAAGATACACAATAGAACACGCACACGGCTCTCAAACATACAGTTTAACACGTAAAATTAACGAGACCACCTCAAAGTATTAACAAATGTACGCTCTATAAAATATCACTGTAGAGCAGACCCAGTGTAAAGCTGAGGTGCCATGAACACAGAGAACACTTCAACTCTATGCCCGTCCGGGGCCCAACGCCTCTTCAAACTTTCACCCACCATAAATATTGCCAGAACAAAAGTGGAAATGTTCAAGATGAACAATGGACCAGTAGTAGGTCCACAACTACTGGTCCTACTACTACAACTACTGTAGTAACGACTACAGCCCAACTGTAGTAATTACTACAGCTGGGCTGTAGTAACAGGCCAGCCTGTTACTAAAGACCGATTAAAATATTATTAAGACCATTACGTAAATATTACACAAATATTTGCATTCTGGATGTATTTGGCAAATATTTGCCTGGATTTGCGCCCTGGGGAGGCCACTCCAGACCGACAACCAGAGCGCAGCTCCATAGTCTCCTGAGACTGATGGATGCCTACTACACAAATGAAGTTTGAACACTAGACACAATGAGGAGTTATCTGACTTACCTTCTCTGTCGATGGTGAAGTAGCCAACGCCATCGCCGGCAGTAATGGCGTATGTGAGACGACCTGGGTCCGGGTCCCACGCCGTTAGGGTCGTCACAAGGGCTCCTGGAGCCAGGGTCTCCCGCACACGACCCCGCACCACGCGTTGCGGGAATACTGGAGGACCCAAGTTCTCGTCTACATCATGGACGCGGATGAAGAGTGAAGCGTGAGCTTCTAGAGACGGAGAGCCTCCATCTTGGGCCCGAACTGACACATTGTACGTCTGGCGGGTTTCAAAATCCAGCGGTGTTGACAGCCGCACCACTCCCGTCTCTTCGTCGACGCGGAAGGCATCTCCGTGACCACTCACCAGACTGTATTTGATCTGGCCACCCATACCCATATCCTGATCAGTTGCCTGAAGTGTGGCCACAACAGCTCCTAGGGGCAGGTCTTCCGGGACATCTACCGCCAGTCTGCTAGCTGCACCATATTCAGGTGGGCAGTCATTGATGTCGAGAACAGTCACTAGCACTCGCGCCAGCGCCGAGCGCGGGCTCTCTAAGGCGCTGTCCCAAGCCCGAACTCGTAGATCATACTCGCTACGACGCTCGCGGTCCAGCCCACCAGACATGTACACTACCCCGGTCGCTCTGTCAACTGTAAACTCTTCCACGTCGGTCACTAGTTCGTAAGATATTTTAGCGTTTAGACCTTCGTCGGCGTCTTGGGCACTCAGCTGCGCCACGCTAGTTCCATTACGAGTGTTTTCTGGCAAGTGCAGACTGTAACTTACGCGACTGAACTCGGGAGCATTGTCGTTCACATCAGCGACTCGAACGGTGAGATTCCTTGACACACTCTTATGTGGAACACCAAGATCGTACACGGTAATGTTTAGGGAATATTCAGGAGTCCGCTCGCGGTCCAGCTCGGCCACCACCTCCAGTACTCCAGACTCGATGCCAATCCTGAAAACCGAGTCCGTGTCGCCGCTGGACACCGCGAAGACCACCCGCCCGTTGTGGCCCCTGTCGTGGTCACTGGCTTCCACCGTCAGTAGTTTTCTACCAATCTCAGCATCTTCGCGAACCGTAATCATGCTGGGAAATTTTTCGGGTAGGTCAGGGGCGTGAGAATTGTAGCCGTAGCGGAGCGGCAAGAGGGCGTAGTGCTCCACTGCTGCATTGTTCTCCGCGGCCGCAGCTTCGACCTCCGTTGCCTTGGTGCCAATCCCCGTCTCGTGGCACTCCACATGAGAGTGTTGTCTTACATTGCCGTGGTCCTCGCTCCTCTGGGTGATGACTGCCACTGTCACGCTAGTTGGGTCTGATATGTGGGTGCCATCAGTGGCCGTCACATTGAGAACGTAGGTCTTCAGCCTCCCGCCGGTGATAAAGGCTTTCCTGAGATCGCAGGTGAGAGCAAGAACGCCTGAGGATGCGTCCATAACCCAGCACTCTTCCTCCATATCGTTCTGTAGTTTGTAGCTAACTATACTGGCGTTGTCCAGGTCCAAGGCCGAGAGGGAGAGGACACTGGTGCCTACCGGGGCGTCCACCGACACCCAACCTTTGCAGTCAACGCCTTCAAACTGCGGCCGGTTGTCATTAACATCACGAACTTTAACTTTCACAGTTGTTTCTGTCTCACGCTTGAAGGGTGTACCCCAGTCCGAGGCTCGAACCTTGATGGTATAGACGCGCCGTTGGGCTTCATAATCAAGCACGGATGACGTACGTACTGTTCCATCGAAGGGGTCAATTACGAAGGGTACTTGGTCAAGGTTAGCGATGCTGTAAGATATAAAACCATTCTCCCCAGAGTCGACATCAGAAGCGACCATGCGAGTGACGTACGACCCCGCCGGTTCATTTTCGTCGAGCGTGACCTCTGTGTTGGGAGTGTTGAACTGTGGGGCGTTATCATTTGCGTCCAGTACTCGAATGATGACCTTGGCCGACGACTGCTTCCGGCGGGCGTTGCTGGCCTGGTCCACGGCTGCGACAGTTACGCTGTAGTAGGCGGTAGTCTCGTGGTCCAGCCAGTCGGCAGTCGAAATAAGACCTGTTCGAGGGTTGATGTTGAACTTGTCATCGTCATTACCGGCAACTATTCTAAACAGAACTCTTCCATTGATCCCCTGATCGGTGTCCGAAGCTGCGACTCTGACGACGGGTGTGTCGGGCGGCGCTTCCTCGCTCACTGCCTCTTCGTACTGCTCTCGTGCGAAAACCGGCGCGTGGTCGTTCACATCAGCGATGTTGACATGGACGTTGACGCGCGTCTTGCGCGGGGGAATGCCGCAGTCAATAGCCTGCAGGGTCAGATTGTAACCCTGAGGCGCCAGTTCGCGGTCCAGGAGCTTCAGCACCGCCAAATTGTATTCATTTGAATGTGATCCTCGCGTAATGCTGAACAGGCGGTCAGGATCGCCTCCCACGATGTCTACCTTATCTACCCTGCCACTCTGCCCCTCGTCGGCGTCATGTATGTTGATGATAGCGTAGATGTGCGTATGGGAGTGTTCCACCACATGCGGCAAGTGTTGCACGGTGATGCGCGGTGCATTAATGTTGACTTGATGCACCTGCACTTCCACCGTGGCTCGAGCAGCTGCTATGGACCGCAGGTTGCGGGGATGCGGACCGCGGTCCTGCGCCAACACCGCAACTCTGTGTATGCGTCCAGACGTGTGAGAGAGCGGCCGCGTGACGCTCAGGACGCCAGTGGTCGGGTGGACGGCGAACAAATTAGTCTTGTGATCTTCCAGCGAGTAGTACACCTGACCGTTGTACCCGGCGTCTGCGTCATGCGCGGTGACGGACGCCAGCGACGCATGGAGGGACGCGTCCTCACCCACACTCACCTTGTACACCGTCGGGTAGAAGAGCGGTATATTGTCGTTAGTATCCAACACTGAAACGGTCACGTTCGCGCGGGCTTTGAGATTGGTACCCCAGTGGGCGGCGTTCCTGAGCCGCGCCTCCACCACTAGCGAGTAGCGCGCGCGACGTTCCCGATTGAGAACGTCTCTCAAGCCCGTTTTCGTCCTCACTTTCATCACCGTCACGCCCCCCACCACCTCGGAATCCACGGCAAAGAAGCCATCTTGGTCCCCGCCCACTATATCGTAAGTGACATGGGTGGAGGGCGGCAGGTCCCCCATCGCCACGCCCATGAGCTCTTCCCCGGCCACGTACGTCCTGGGCAGCGAATTCTCGTAGATGCTGACATTGTAGAGGCTTCTTAAGAAGCGGAATGAACTTGTCCTTGGGTGGGGAGCCGTGGCGCCCACCGCGAGCAGCGGTAAGGCTAGTAGCACCAGCTGAAGGAGAGGGCGTGTGTGGGCGTGGTGGGCGCGAGGCAGTGTGGGCAGGGACGCCCGCAAGCCCGCTCCCAGAGGCATCATGCCGCCCTCAACATGTCATCTCCGTAGCGGCATCACCTGAGGAGAGGGAGGGGAAAAAAATAAGAGACTGTTTAGTACCTTTCTTAGCAATAATAATTATTTTTTTCACCTTATTATATAACCAACATCTTCACCACACACTGTTATACAGTCGTAATGACTTGGCGCTTTCCCCCTGATACTTCCCTTTGCCTTCACCACACACACAAGCTTCCATCACTGTAACTATCTTCACCACACAAAATCTTCATCACTATAACCCCTTTTCACTACACACTGCCCTTCATCACTCTAATTATCTTCACCACACACTGCACTTCATCACTGTATCCATCTTCACTACACACTGCTTTTCCCCATAAGCTAAATAAGACAACCCATTTCAATTTTGCAATCAATTTTGCCTTATCAAACACACACGTTAACATAACGCGATCATGTACTCATGTACACATGCATAATGTACACATGAATGCCCTATGCTCCCTCCACACACGCATACAAAACACACACACACACACACACACACACACACACACACACACACACACACACACACACACACACACACACACACACACACACACACACACAAACACACACACAAGTGAAGGCTGACTCCATACACAGTTTCAAATGTAGATATGATAGAGCCCAGTAGGCTCAGGAATCTGTACACCGGTTGATTGACAGTTGAGAGGCGGGACCAAAGAGCCAAAGCTCAACCCCCGCAAGCACAAATAGGTGATTACAAATAGGTGAGTACACACACACACACACACACACACACACACACACACACACACACACCCACACTTAGAAAGCTTTTTCAATGCCAAAGCAGTTAACAAAAGTCATGCATTAGGAAGCGATTGTGGTAGAGGCAAACTCTCGTACACAGTTTCAAATATCTAAGTAGTCACTAAGACCAAATGAAACGAAAATTTCAAATATTTTCGTGTTTCATCACATAATCGAGCCATACAGCCTTAGAAGGCATGGGTTTGAACACCATGAACAGTGACCATGAACAGTGAGTTAAACAAGAGACCGACTGAAATGGCTGACACTATAAACTTTGGGCGGGTAATGAGGCCTGGGGTCTTAAAAGGTCTTGTAGAAGGCGTCGGGCAGGAAGCGGAAGAGCAGGGGAGGACTCGAGAGGGCAAGGGGGAGGGAGGGGGAAAGGAACCGGAAAGGCGGGGAAAGAAACGGGAGATGTAGGGGAGAAATAGTGAACGGAAGGAGAAATAGAGAATACGAAAGGGAGGTATGGGAAGGGACGGGTGGGAGATACAGTGAGGGGACAGGCCTCTGGGAGGGGAGGTATGGGAGGACGTGTGTGTGTGGGGGGGGGGAGGGGGATGAGGTTATCTATCTTGAGGTTATCTTGAGATGATTTCGGGGCTTTAGTGTCCCCGCGGCCCGGTCCTCGACCAGGTCTCCACCCCCAGGAAGCAGCCCGTGACAGCTGGCTAACACCCAGGTACCTATTTTACTGCTAGGTAACAGGGGAGGGAGGAGGGCGTATGGAAGAGGCGATATAGATAAACCCATTCCAGTAAAGCTGGACTCATCACAACTTTACTGGATGATTAAAGCTCGTGGGACGAAAGACAGGAGATTACACAAACCAGTTCATATATTACAGCCCGTAGCAGCTGTCTAACTCCCAGGTACATATTTACTGCTAGCTGAACAGAAGCATCTGGGTGAAAGAAACTCTACCTATTTGTTTCCGCCTCCGCTGTGGATCGAACCCGGAACCTTAGAACTACGAACCCCGAGCGCTGTTCACTCAGCCGTCAGGCTCAGCTGACAGTCGAATTCAATATATACAGCGAATAAATACTAAATGCTGCCTGCCAATCAGAAAGTTAATCCATGGTTATGCGCCAATTTAGTAGGCCCAAATTCTTTTTCTGCCCCCACCCAAAAAAAACAAAAATCCTTTTCTCGTGTCAGTCAAGTTGAAAAATGCAGCTTAACTTTCAGCTTGTATTTCTTGCAGCTTATCTCGAGATGGAGGTATTGATCAGCTTGAAGAAATCCTCCACTGAATCGGCTTTAGAAATTTGTTTGTAAGGAGTCATTCAGGATCTTGCGAATCACTTACCAGATGGGGTAAGACCGCCCCGGCCGTGTCCAGGACTCTTGCGTGTTCACACTCCTTTATGTTCACTGCACAGGATTCTAGGTTTGCAGACCCGCCTTCATATATGCCCACGTTTTTTTTCAATATTAACAAACGCTGAGAAGCCGACTGGCGACGGTGCTTGAGAGACAATTTGGAATAGGAGACAGGGAGGTACGAACTAGGGAGGTGGGAGATACGAAGCAACAGGCAGGGAGATACGAAGCAGCAAGCAGGGAGATAGGAAGCAGGAGACAGGGGGATACGAAGCAGCAGGCGGGGAGATACGAAGCAGGAGGCAGGGGGATACGAAGCAGCAGGCAGGGAGATACGAAGCAGCAGGCAGGGAGATACGAAGCAGCAGGCAGGGAGATACGAAGCAGCAGGCAGGGAGATACGAAGCAGGAGGCAGGGAGATACGAAGCAAGAGGCAGGGAGATACGAAGCAGGAGGCAGGGAGATACGAAGCAAGAGGCAGGGAGATACGAAGCAGGAGGCAGGGAGATACGAAGCAGGAGGCAGGGAGATACGAAGCAAGAGGCAGGGAGATACGAAGCAGGAGGCAGGGAGATACGAAGCAGCAGGAAGGGAGATACGAAGCAGGAGACAGGGATAGACAAAGCAGGAGGCAGGGAGATACAGTTCCTGGAGGAGGCACCTGTCCTTCCATCCTTCAGGGTGATGATACCTACAAAACAGCGCTCCATCCCTATCAATGACCGACATATATGCTCTAGCCCGGTCAACCCTCCGTAACCCACAGAGGGGAAACATCGCTACGTAATCTCCCTTCACTATCACCCTGTCTATACCCTCTTGTCCCCCCCCCCCAAACCAAGAGCACCTCACCCTCCCCCTTCTTCCCCCAAACCCCTACCAGCCCTTGCATCGCCCATCTGACACTCAGCTACCCTCCCCTTCCTTCCAAACCCTCCGCCCATACTTCCCCCTTTCCCCTATCACCGCCCATTCTGACACCAAGGTCTCCTCCAAGGCACTCCCGCACCCCTCTCACCATTTCTTCTGGCACTATGGCCTTGGGAGCCGGTCGGCCGAGCGGACAGCACGCTGGACTTGTGATCCTGTGGTCCTGGGGTCGATCCCAGGCGCCGGCGAGAAACAATGGGCAGAGTTTCTTTCACCCTATGCCCCTGTTACCTAGCAGTCAAATAGGTACCTGGGTGTTAGTCAGCTGTCACGGGCTGCTTCCTGGGGGTGGAGGCCTGGTCGAGGACCGGGCCGCGGGGACACTAAAAAGCCCCGAAATCATCTCAAGATAACCTCAAGATAACCTCAAGGGTTAGTTAGCTGTCACGGGCTGCTTCCTGGGGGTGGAGGCCTGGTCGAGGACCGGGCCGCGGGGACACTAAAAAGCCCCGAATTCATCTCAAGATAACCTCAAGATAACCTTCTCTATCCCCCCCCCATCACCCCTCCCCCCAAAAAAAAATAACCCACCGGAAACACTTGATTATTGCCATAGTCGACACTCACGAAAAACTCCACAACAGTAATAACGAGCATAGATACAGTACTCGAGAAATGAAACTTCAGAGCTTAAGGCAAGACAATTGGTTAAGTTCAATTAATGAGAAAAGTTCAAAGGACTGCTGAAGCAGGTAGGTAGGGGGGGCCCTCCCTCCCTCCCTCCCCGGCTGCCTCAGCAGCTCTTTGAACCTTTCCAGCGGTCCTTTGAACATTTCCAACCGCCTGGAAATGTGCGCTGGAAACTGTATTTTGGAAGCAGGCAAGTTTGGTGCGGTAGTTTGGGGGGATGTGCTAGGTGCTGTTTGCGTAATGGGTGCTCAGTCCGGCTGTTGGGGGATGCGCCGGGATCTGCTAGAGGTGGGTAGTTCAGTCCAGCACTCTGATAATGCGCCGGGATCTGCTAGAGGTAAGTGGGAGCTGTTCCAGCTGTTGGAGGATGCGCCGGGATCTGCTAGAGGTGGGTGGTTCAGTCCAGTACTCTGATAATGGGCCGGGATCTGCTAGAGGTAAGTGGGAGCTGTTCCAGCTGTTGGTGGATGCGCCGGGATCTGCTACAGGTGGGTGGGAGTTGTTCCAGCTGTTTGGGAATGTGATGGGAGCTGTTAGAGATGGGTGGGAGCTCATTCCAGCTGTCTGGGGGGCTGTGCTTGGATGGTGAAAGCATAGTGGTCGCGAAAGCAGTGTTTTCCTAGTGAACAAGCTAATGTGATGGCGAAAAGCCACTTTTCAAGGGGGGAGAGTAGTGGTGCTGGTAGTTTTGTTCAGTAGTGATTCAAGTGGTTTTTGGTGAATATGAATGACCAAACCACACACCAGAAGATGAAGAAACGACAACGTTTCGGTCTGTCCTGGACAGACCGAAAAATCGAAATCCACTTGATAATGGTCCAGAACGGACTGAAACGTCGTCGTCCCTTCACCTGCTCGTATGAGGATTGGTCATCATATCTTCAGCTACGTTATTGTGACTCATCGTCTACATTTGGAGAATATTGGTCACCTTTCATAAAAAAAATAATAGTTATCCCTGGTCGAATTCTTGCACCACCTTGCAAATACTGACATTACAGTTGCTGCCTTATGGTCATTGTACATTTATGCAGTTCTGGTTCTAAAAGTCTTCTTAATCTGTGCTAGAATCAGGTGAGCAAATATTTACTTCCTCCACTTAGTTGTAAGTTTTGCAGCTTCATGTGCAATGTCGTGCCCTGCTATTCCTACTCACTTCCCCTTTCAGAGCAACAGAGATCTCTGAAATACAGAGAACACATACGGCACGCATAGACACGTTAAAGAACCTAAACTACTGAAACCGTCTCAAAGCTGTCAAGATGTACTCTCTGGAAAGGAGACGAGAGAGGTATCAAATAATATTACACATGGAAGATACTGTAGGACCAGGTCCCAAATTTACACAGTAGAATAACAACTTTCTGGAGAGATGGGTACGGAAGGAAATGTAGAATGGAACCAGTGAGGAGCAGAAGTGCCATTGGCACAATTAGAGAACACTGTCTGAACATCAGGGGGTCCTCGGCTGTTCAACACCCTCCCAGCAAGCAGAAATATTGCCGGAACATAGGTGGACCTCTTCACGAATAAATTATATATATATTCTTGCAAAAAGTACCGGACCAACCGGACTGTGGTGGATATGTGGACCTGCGGGCTGCTCCAAGCAACAGCCTGGTGGACCAAGCTCTCACAAGTCAAGCCTGGCCTCGGGCTTGAGGTCTCGGGAAGTAGAGCAACTCTCGAGACCCTCTCCAGGTACGAGTTGGCACCAAGATGGTAAAAATTCGACCCTGATAAATGATTGTTTACATTAATGATATAAAATTTGTGATCAGATGGCTGTTAAGCTGTAAGTGCTCTTCTTGCAAGATCTCATTGGCAGTTCTCGAATCTGTTCTTAATGATGAGAAGAATATCACGAAGCCATCTTCGAAGAAGCCTCCACCCCCCCCCCTCCACCCTCCTGGGTTAGGCTTAGGTGTTTCTTATGACAGGAAGAGGGTTACTGATCTCACTATAATAAAATCTAATTGCATTACTCAGATGAAGCAGAATTGTATATTATTTGTTCCAACGAAGATGCTAATCATTAACTAACCTATCCTGTAGTAAGTCCCTTGTACTCACTCCTCTCTACAGGTATACTCTGTCCTGAACAACCCCTGAAGTACCACTATACACTATACACTCTACAACACACCAAACCACGACATTATATCCTAAACCATTGCCCTAATGTCCCAAAGCAACACACACACACACACACCTGCTCGATGGGATTCTGGGAGTTCTTCTACTCCTCAAGTGACCTCTTACACACACACACACACACACACACACACACACACACACACACACACACACACACACACACACACACACACACACACGTGTGTGTGTGTGTGTGTGTGTGTTATCACACTGGTAGCTGAGCGGACAGCGCGCAGGACTCTTAATTCTATGACCCGGGTTCGATTCCCGGACCAGGCAGAAATAAATGGGAAAAAGCTTTTTACACCCTGATGACCCTGTTACCTAGCAGTAACTAGGTAACTAGGGAGTTAGACATCTGTTACGGAGCTGCTTCCTGTGTGTGTGTGTGGAGGGGGGTGGAAGGTAGTTAGTTACAGTTGATTGATTGAAAGATGCAGTTGAGCGGCGGGCCGAAAGAGCCGAGCTCAACCCCCGCAAGCACAACTAGGTAAATACAACTAGGTGAATACACAGTCTAACGTAAACCATCGTAAACTCTAACTATTGTGAAAAACAGCCCATTTGCCTGTGTAGCACAACACAGATTTCAAGCGACCATACATCGAGGTTTCCCTACCAACACTGTCCAGTTAATTATCCTGAACGTAATCAATGGCCTCTCATGTGGTTAATATCCGGAGCACCGCCAGGCTGGCTTGGGTCGACTTCTACACCTTCTGACTGGCTTGTGTCGACTCCTACACCTTCTGACTGGCTTGTGTCGACTCCTACACCTTCTGACTGGTTTGTGTCGACTCCTACACCTTCTGACTGGCTTGTGTCGACTCCTACACCTTCTGACTGGTTTGTGTCGACTCCTACACCTTCTGACTGGTTTGTGTCGACTCCTACACCTTCTGACTGGCTTGTGTCGACTCTTACACCTTCTGACTGGCTTGTGTCGACTCCTACACCTTCTGACTGGCTTGTGTCGACTCCTACACCTTCTGACTGGCTTGTGTCGACTCCTACACCTTCTGACTGGCTTGTGTCGACTCCTACACCTTCTGACTGGCTTGTGTCGACTCCTACACCTTCTGACTGGCTTGTGTCGACTCTTACACCTTCTGACTGGTTTGTGTCGACTCCTACACCTTCTGACTGGTTTGTGTCGACTCCTACACCTTCTGACTGGCTTGTGTCGACTCCTACACCTTCTGACTGGCTTGTGTCGACTCCTACACCTTCTGACTGGCTTGTGTCGACTCCTACACCTTCTGACTGGCTTGTGCCAACTCCTGCACCTTCTGACTGGCTTGTGTCGACTCCTACACCTTCTGACTGGCTTGTGTCGACTCCTACACCTTCTGACTGGCTTGTGTCGACTCCTACACCTTCTGACTGGCTTGTGTCGACTCCTACACCTTCTGTCTGGCTTGAGTCGACTCCTACTCCTTCTGACTGGCTTGTGCCAACTCCTGCACCTTCTGACTGGCTTGTGTCGACTCCTACACCTTCTGACTGGCTTGTGTCGACTCCTACACCTTCTGACTGGCTTGTGTCGACTCCTACACCTTCTGACTGGCTTGTGCCAACTCCTGCACCTTCTGACTGGCTTGTGTCGACTCCTACACCTTCTGACTGGCTTGTGTCGACTCCTACACCTTCTGACTGGCTTGTGTCGACTCTTACACCTTCTGACTGGCTTGTGTCGACTCTTACACCTTCTGACTGGCTTGTGCCAACTCCTGCACCTTCTGACTGGCTTGTGTCGACTCCTACACCTTCTGACTGGCTTGTGTCGACTCCTACACCTTCTGACTGGTTTGTGTCGACTCCTACACCTTCTGACTGGCTTGTGTCGACTCCTACACCTTCTGACTGGCTTGTGTCGACTCCTACACCTTCTGACTGGCTTGTGTCGACTCCTACTCCTTCTGACTGGTTTGTGTCGACTCCTACTCCTTCTGACTGGCTTGTGCCAACTACTGCACCTTCTGACTGGCTTGTGTCGACTCTTACACCTTCTGACTGGCTTGCGACACCAGCTACATCTCTAGGTTGGCGAACATCAACATCTGCACAGTTAGACTGACTTGCGTACCTATTGCACCTCAGCTTTTCAACGGGGCTATTTTGCACATCAAGTCATGCCTCCTGGTCTCAGGTGGTGTTATTTCTATGTGAACATTTGGAACCAGTCCCTCTGATACTTTCCAAGTGTATGTTATTATGTATCTCTTTCACGTGCGCTCTTGGGAAAACCCGCCCTCTTAAAACTAACGTCACTTTTGGCTCGTATGCGCACTATGGCCAAATTTGGACGTAATTTGAAATGAAATCGACTCACAAAAGTGACGTACTGTTCCGTTTTCTGTTTGAGTCGTCCGGCTTACTCGGCAAGCTTAGAAGAGGCAACTTTCCATTAACGTTTTTCATACCGTTTTGAAACTTTATGAGAATTTCCTTCCCACCTAACCTATCAGAGGACCCTTAACTTACTGTTGTTGACCAAAAAAATCCCAATTTTATTTTCATTTTGTTTTTCTTTTTCAAATTACGTCCATATTCGGCCATACGGCCAAACGGCCAAAAGTGACGCTTGGGAATATAGACTGAAACATTTTAAGCGGTCCCAATAATCTAGGTGTTTTATTGGGTGAATTCTTGCAGTAAAAGACATTTGCACGCTCTCTCGGTCAGCAATTTCTCCAGCTTTGAACTGGGCTGTTATTGGTCAATAATATTCCTCTTCCAGAAAGCAGTATCATCTTGAAAATGCATCATCATTGGAATGGCATCTCTTGTTTGAAAGGGTAGTGATATTTTCTGTTTGGTTATGCCTTCAAAGTATAGAAAATGGATATTATTCCTCTCTAATGATGCTTTGAACTTGGCGTAAGACTGCTTAATGAAGATGGCTTGAAGGTACTTGAAAGCTATCGACTAATTAAGCAAAGACGACAGCCTTCAAGTATCCTCAAGATGTCTTCCCTTTAATGTCAAAGCAAAGCAAAGTTTTAACCCTTGCACTGCTCACCTATTTTCGGCAAAAACGTCTTGGTGCAATTGTCAAGGACATATTTTTGTTATTTTTACAAATGTTCAAGTAAATTTAATGTCAAAATGTTTCCAAAGTCAACTATTTCCATTTCAAAACACAAATAGTAATGAAAACATTAAAATATAGCCAAATTAAAAAACAAAAAGCACAACTCTCTGAGCGCCTAAAGGCGCTTTGCGCAGTGCAGTGGTTAAGGGGGAATAATAACCAATGTCTACACTTTAGAGGTATAAAACAATCAAGTAATTCACTTATTACTAACAAACAAATGCAATAATTGTTACACAGAGTAACAAAATAATATATTTCATAACCTACATATTTTACTGTAGATATATAGCTATTTTACAATTTTAAATTGCACTTGTTTGCAGCCCGAATCTTTGTATTTGCCGAGTTTGTGATATGACCTTTTGAGTTGCTTGTATTGCTTATCAAATACGACGCGAAGCCATGCGAGGGATAAAGCAATATGTGTGTGTGTGTGTGTGTGTGTCGGGCCGTAGGCTGTCACCCCCAGAGCAGGGGCTGACAGCCCCCAGAGCAGGAGCTGTCACCCCCAGAGCAGGGGCTGTCACCCCCAGAGCAGGGGATTGTCACCCTCAGAGCAGGGGCTGTCACCCCCAGAGCAGGGACTGTCACCCCAGAGCAGGCGTTAACAGCCCCCAACAGGGGCTGACCGCCCCCAGCAGGCGCTGATAGCCCCCAGCAGGCGCTGATAGCCCCCAGCAGGGGTTGAAAGCCCCCAGCAGGGGTTGAAAGCCCCCAGAAGGCGCTGACAGCCCCCAGCAGGCGCTGATAGCCCCCAGCAGGGGTTGAAAGCCCCCAGCAGGGGTTGAAAGCCCCCAGAAGGCGCTGACAGCCCCCAGCAGGCGCTGACAGCCCCCAGCAGGGGCTGAAAGCCCCCAGCAGGGGCTACAGCCAGGGACAACAGCCACAAGCGCTTGCCCCTCCAAGCAAACACACCGAAACTACAAACGTTACTACAACATTCCAACAACTTGTAACCCCCCCCCCCCATCTAACAAGTATCTAGCAAGTCGTAACACCTGTCTAATGCTCTCTGCCAACATGGGTCAACAACCACAGGTGTTGTTGACATGTTAGATCAATACCTGCTGCTCCTCCGCCACCAATATCCTCCGGGGGCTACTCCCCCCCCCCCCTTTCACTTTTTAGGCCCCTTCATGGCGCCTTCCTCAAATATTTGATCAGAAATATGAAATTGAAGATTTCTCTGTTACCTAAAATCCTGCAGGAGATATTCCAGCTTGTGTGGCATGAAAGACTTTCGTTATGTGTTGTTTAATTACCAGGTTTCAGTGGTAATAACAGCAAAAATTTAATTAATATTTCAGATTTATTATGACGTTCCATTTTATACACAATTGAGTTAAAAAAAAAGTCATATTATATATATATATTATATATATATATATATATATATATATATATATATATATATATATATATATATATGTCGTACCTAGTAGCCAGAACGCACTTCTCAGCCTACTATGCAACGCCCGATTTGCCTAATAAGCCAAGTTTTCATGAATTAATGTTTTTAGACTACCTAACCTACCTAACCTAACCTAACCTAACTTTTTATGCTACCTAACCTAACCTAACCTATAAAGATAGGTTAGGTTAGGTTAGGTAGGGTTGGTTAGGTTCGGTCATATATCTACGTTAATTTTAACTCAAATAAAAAAAAATTGACCTCATACATAATGAAATGGGTAGCTTTATCATTTCATAAGAAAAAAATTAGAGAAAATATATTAATTCAGGAAAACTTGGCTTATTAGGCAAATCGGGCCTTGCATAGTAGGCTGAGAACTGCGTTCTGGCTACTAGGTACGACATATATATATATATATATATATATATATATATATATATATATATATATATATAGAACACTATTATTGCTCCAATGATTCTTCATGCATTTTCAAATTCAAGAGACAGGCTAGTATACCATCATGGTTATATCATGTTATATCATGGCCCCATTTCCATGGAAGGAGGACATACTTAACGACGCCATCTCCAGCAATGGGTGAAGGGGGAGGAGGGGGGGGGGGAGGATAACGACTGGTGAATTGGCCTAGATATCAAAATAATCGCCATGAGAAGAGGTATTGTGGTAATTTGCACTACCAAATGCGATATTATTATTGTAAGATATATTTTTTTCCACGTGTTTAATATCGCTGGGATACCTGGTTATCTTGGCATTTGTACGGTGGTGATATCAAAATGTTTTGAACTCAAAATATATATGCTACCTTGCTGGGTGTGATAGCATTCTTGGTCATTTAATAAATTGCAAGAATATTATATATATATATATATATATATATATATATATATATATATATATATATATATATATATATATATATATATATATAATTGGGCTGACATTTTTCTGGTTCCTAGTTCAAAAACTTCCGCCAAAAACTAAGACTGTATTTAATTATTTAATTTTAAGTTAATAAATACCAGGGGTATGATACATATCCAGCCGTGTGAGAGATATACATACATACATACATACATACATACATACATACATACATACATACATACATACATACATACATACATACATACATACATACATAACATTCCATACATGGAATGATCCAACAAATGGCTACTAAAATTCAACTCAAGTAAATGTAAGATGATGAAACTAGGCGGAGGAAATAGGCCAGACACAGGATACCGAATGGGAGGTGAAGTTCTCCACGAAGCGGACAGAGAGAAAGATCTAGGAGTTGATATCATGCCAAACCTGTCTCCTGAAGCCCACATCAAAAGAATAACATCGGCGGCGTATGCGAGCCTGGCTAACATCAGCACTACCTTCAGAAACCTGTGTAAGGATTCTGAAGGCAGTTCAGAATCCGTCAGAACCTTGTATACCACATATGTAAGGCCAATCCTTGAGTATGCCGCCCAAGTATGGAGTCAAGCACAAGACGAAGCTGGAAAAAGTTCAGAGGTATGCCACTAGCTAGTCTCAGAACTAAGAGGAATAAGTTATGAGGAAAGGCTGCGTGAACTGCACCTCACGTCGCGGGAAGACAGAAGAGCTCGGGGAGACATGATCACCACGTACAAAATTCTGTCGACAGGGTAGACAAACATGTATTATTTAACACGGGTGGTACACGCAAAAGGGAACACAGGTGGAAGCTGAGTACCCAAATGAGCCACAGAGACGTTAGAAAGAACGTTTTCAGTGTCAGAGTAGTTAACAGATGGAATGCACTAGGCAGTGATGTGGTGGAGGCTGACGCCATACACAGTTTCAAATGTAGATATGATAGAGCCCAGTAGGCTCAGGAACCTGTACACCAGTTGACTGACAGTTGAGAGGCGGGACCAAAGAGCCAAAGCTCAACCCCCGCAAGCACAACTAGGTGAATAAACATCCCCTGATGGAAATGGCACATGATTATAGGCCTATGAAAGGAATAATTTTGCAGAAAGCCTAATCACCACGACTAATACTAGTTAGACGACGTGGTTAGTCGTCTAATCACCACGACTAATACTAGTTAGACGACGTGGTTAGTCGTCTAACCACCACGACTAATACTAGTTAGACGACGTGGTTAGTCGTCTAATCACCACGACTAATACTAGTTAGACGACGTGGTTAGTCGTCTAATCACCACGACTAATACTAGTTAGACGACGTGGTTAGTCGTCTAACCACCACGACTAATACTAGTTAGACGACGTGGTTAGTCGTCTAACCACCACGACTAATACTAGTTAGACGACGTGGTTAGTCGTCTAATCACCACGACTAATACTAGTTAGACGACATGGTTAGTCGTCTAATCACCACGACTAATACTAGTTAGACGACGTGGTTAGTCGTCTAACCACCACGACTAATACTAGTTAGACGACGTGGTTAGTCGTCTAACCACCACGACTAATACTAGTTAGACGACGTGGTTAGTCGTCTAACCACCACGACTAATACTAGTTAGACGACGTGGTTA